AGACTTCACAATATTCAAGTGTCTTCCATATCTGTTGATAAGTGCTTATAGGATTACAGCTATGGTCTTGGCATATGGAAGTGGGGTTGCGTACGCGCACTCAAGTCCATTTGTCTAATCGGCCATAGCAAATCCTCTGATAGCACAGATTGTTCAGTTCATCAACAATAATGGTGCATTGTTTGTGGTGTCAACACTATTTGTCTAATCTTATCTATCCTAGCGAGAGACACGTCATAGTAAGTAAGGTAAAATTTACCTGGTATCATTTTCACCTTTCTAATTATGAAAATTGAATGATTGAAATGATTGAGATGTATAACTTCTCTTGATGGTCTTTGCACTTATCTTCTATCACTTTGGTAGCTTCAGAAATTTCTGATTAACTCTTGATATGATAACTGTATGTGTCTTCACTATCTATCTATATGTTGTAAGTGCTAATTGGATTGTCGCTGTGGACTTGGCATGCTGATTTGGGGTTGTCGTCCAGACAATCAAATCTAATTGTCTAATGTCATCTTGTGACATTGCAAATCCTATGAAAGCACAGATCATTCAGTGTATTTTTTAAATTAACCAACACTACTTGAATTGTGTATTGTTTGTAGTGTTCAACACTGTCAGTCTAATCTAATCTATCTACGTAAGGGACAGTGACATTTCAGAGTTCATAGGCTTCATTCTAGCTGGTATTGTTTTTAACTTCATCAAATGTTAGAAATTATGACATTGTGATGATCATAATTTTAATCTAATCAATGTTGTTTGATAGTTTCAGATGAGTCAGCACCTCTACTATTGGGAAATATGTTGCGGTTTAGTTTCTGTCCAAGAAAAATGGCTGGGATTCTGCGCTTGAATTCTACTAGACATAAACCAATTATTTTATGGTACCTAAAATATCACTGTGAGTACAAAATTTGGTGAGTTTCTCTATGTAGTATGCAGAGTTAACTGAAAGTGCCATATGAAATCAAAAGTTTGACCTGTTTTATTGTTGGTGACTTGAAGTTTGTTACGCCAAAGATGGAGAGTAATTTGAGCTATTAAACTGATTTCTGATTATGTTGAAATTGTTTTAGTAGAGTTTGTGATATATGTATTTGATTAAGAAGCACAAATACCCTCTATGATTTTTTGTGTCATTCTTGATCCAAATTTGTCCTAAGAAGGGTTGATGTTATCCATCTAACTTTCCTGGGAATATGTTTTAAATGCTGGAAAAGTTTGAAGTATTGCCTTAACAACAAGGGTGGCGTTCGTGCTTCCTTTTTTTTTTTCAAATCTAATTGTCGAATGTCATTTAGTCCATCACATATCCTCTTGCAGCAAAGAGCACTCTACAAATACGTAGCTTTATTAATTGTGATTGTTTGGGCATCTATAGAATATTATTTCAAAGTAAAGTATTGTGTTGCATGTTATACCTTCTGAAACTACTCAAGTACAATGTAAACATCTGTTTTCATGAATGATTGGGACTAGCAATTATCCTAATTATGGGAGTTGTTAAAGTCTTTCAGCATTGAAAAGTTTTAAATAGGATTTGTAGTACTGGGCAGTTGTCGGACTGGCATCGTCTTCATCATTGTGTGAAAACTGCTGAAATGGTTTTAGCTGTGACCTAGACATGCTGATGCGGGTAGCGTACGCGCTCCAAATCTAATTGTCGAATGTCATTTGGGTCATCAGATATCCTTTTAAAGCTCAGAGTACTCCTTTTAATGTATTGTTTCAATTCACAAACGATCAGATATTGCCTCATAGAATTACTTTTTCTATTCTGAGATTTTGATTTCTTATGAAAGAGTAGAGGAGTTGCAAGGAATACAGACTCATTTTTCAGGGAGAGCGGCCATCTGACAGAGAGAAATATCATCGAATTTTGCTTCAAAATGCTGGGGTTGTGAATTACTGTTCAAGAAAAGAAAACCAGAAAATACAGCATGTATTCCTGTCACTTTCTTCACTCCTACAACATAATATCCGTTTTCTCTTAAATTAAATTTCATGAATGAAATTTCCGTTTCTGAACTGTACTTGACTGAACAGTGGATGCACAACATTTATCCTAGAACAAAGAAAAGTACAACAGTATGTAGCTTCATTGAGCTATGATCCTTTTGCATCTTGTAGCTTTGTAGCTTAATTATTTGCCAATCCCAACATTACAATTGAGATACTGGTGCACCCTCATTTTATTTACTCTTGCTATTACTTTCTGTTTCTCAGTCTCTCTTGTACATCATTTTCTTCTTGTCAATAGGTTAAAAATGAGAAAACTCCCATTTGTTTAATAAATTAAAAATTTCTTCCACCATATGTCAATGCATTTTCCTTTCCATGATGGAAAAGGACAATTGGCAAAGTAGAAGTTATGAAGTACACTGTGCGGTAGCAATATAAAGTGAAGTGATCTTTATCAAAAGCAAACTGTTCTGGTGAATCATTATCTAAATCAGTATTTGTTATTTTTTTTTTTTTAAAGTTGAAGCTTTAAAACTCTTTGTGATTGTTTCTCTCGTAGAGCTTGCCATTAGAACCTTGAAATCCTGATGGATTTAAGTTCCTATTTGCTAAATGTGTTTGTTGTTGACTGACAAACATAGAGAAAGCTAAAAACTTGAAAACCAAACGGCATAATTTCCAAGGTATACCTAGTCTTCACTCTAATCTAGCTTACAATCCTTATAGATATATTATAATCACCGAATTACAAATATTCTTGCAAGGATCTACGTTATTGATGCATGACAATTAGGGACAGTGACGCCTGACCTCTTGCTACTTAGTAGCATAAAAATCAGCATTTGTTTTATTCGTCAGTTTTGAATTTTTTGGTTTTGATTGGTTTCAGATTTGCTGAATTGTCCATGTAGAGCTTGTTCAGGACACATTTCATGAAGGACACAGGGAATTTGAAGATGATTGTCGCGCATTTTCTATAGCCTGAGTTTTGGTGGATAGTACCTGTCTGTTCGAAGACTGCTTCGTAAGGTATGTACTTTTTAATATGGTAGTAGTGCACTTGTACAAAAGCAGATTATACTTGGCCATGACTTAACTTTGACTGAGCTGACTCTAGTGTGAGAATTATCGATCTAATCTAGAGTTGGACCTGAGCTCTGGAAGTTCCATGGCAAATAGGAAGC